ATAAAGTACTGTATATTGATGCATATTACTTAAAATTCAATATTACAAGTAAATTATGCATAAATACAACTTATTAAAGCTCGATGTTTGAATTCGTATAACTATCTGCGGATAAACATAATCAAATAGAAAATAAACATCTCATTTTAAAATATAAAAGATCTAAAATATAATTAGAATAATTATCAAGTTCTAACAAAATAAATAATTATTATTTTTATAAAAAAATTATATTATTAAACCAAATATAAATTAATTAATTATTGTACCTAAACTAAATTATAAAAAAATTGAATTACAAAATTACACAAAAAAATGTGAAATTTTAAATAGTTAATTTGATACTAATATCGATATATTTTTGTCAAAATTTTATGATATCTTCAAACTTATATTTTATTCAAAAATAAAAACATTATCGCTTTCTCAAAATCATATATGACCATATTATAACATCGACTAAGATATAGAATAAAATGAAATATTAAAATCAAGATGTATTTCACTGCATCGTGCAGGCATCCTTCTAGTATTATTAAACCAAAAATAAATTATTTCGTTATTAAACTTAAATTAAATTATAAAAAAAAAATTAAAGAAATTACATACAAAATAGAACTTTTAAATAGTTGATTTAATATTAACATTGATATATTTTTTTCAAAATTTTATGATATCTTCAATTTTATATTTTATTGAAAGATAAATTCATTATTGCTTTCTTAAAAACACATTAAATCGTATTATAACATCGACAACGACAAATAATAAAATAGAACATTAAAATCGAGATATATCTCGCTTTATTGTGCAAGTACTCTTCTAGTTAATATAAATAAATTTGACCGGATACTACATAAGAAAAAAATATTAAAATATTTTAATACAATAAAACATAAAAAATTAGTGCACTAGAAACTGGAGGTTTGTTTCCTTTAAATGCATGCATACAACTTTGATTACGGGTAAAACTCAACATTATCATTTACATACCAAGTAAAATTTTAGTCCATCAAAACGGTATCATATATAACAATTTAACCAGTAAGCGCTAACCGTGGTAAGAGTCGTCACCATCACTTATCGGGTAAGCTTCTCAGTCTTTGACTTCATTCTTACCAGGTAAAGATTCTTAATTAGTCTTTGCAATATTTATCAAGTAGGACAATATGACTTGGTAAGCGCTTACCCAGACAAACATTTGGTAAATGACCCTCAGTCACAAGCTTATGAATGTTTTTGACTATAAAGTAGTCTAACAAGTGAGTGACAAATCATGTGCTTGTGTAGTCACCACCAATGTGGTTGGATATTCTTACCTAAATCAAGCTTTCTTAGAGAAAATCAAACAACATGATGAAAGATTCACCAGAAGTTGAACACCAGAAAGGAAATGGAGCATCATACCAGACCTGCTCCTTTTATACCAGACAAGATCGAGAACAAGAGGGATGAAAATGAGAATGTTTGGATCGATCGAGATATGAAGGAGAAGGATGGGTGAAAATAGGCATGGGAATGGGGGCGGGACTAGGGGTGTACGCGAGTTGGGTTGGACGGTTTACAACATTTTTACAACCCAACCCAATTATGGCGGTTTGGAAAAAATCTCAACCCAACCCAACCCAACCCATTCAAAAGTATAACTCAACCCAATCTTTGCGGGTTGGGTTAGGTTGGGTTGGCGGGTTAGTAGTTACATAAATTTGACGAATTAAATAATTCATAAAACTTAACTTTATGGACCATACTATAAAGCGTTCTATCTAAAAAGGTTACAATAGGTTTATATGACGTTTTTGGACGCTTCAACAAGTGTTTTAGAATGATCTTTAAATAAAATTTCGTATTAGTTATTTGATAGAAATATTTTGAGAAGTGTCTCTAAAACTCATCTATTTATAGACAACCTATGTTCATATTCACTTTTCAAGTTGTATAAAATAACTAATATGATACTTTATTTTAAAAGCGTCATAGAATTTGTTAGGACTTTTAAAATCATTCTATAAACATATTGTAACTCTATTAGATAAGAAGACATTTTTTCTTATTTCGTCCTATAAATAATCATATTAGGACGCTTAGACATTTTAGGCATCCTATAAGATCTAATGTTGTTGTAGCGAAATGCTATAACTAAACATTTTATTTCCACTAAAATACAACATAAAATGACGGGGTATTTAGATTGATGGATTCGTCAACAAAATATCTATCAATATCATTCATATTCTCCAACATATCAATTTGTTGTTGCAACAAAAGGGATTTCAGTAATTTTCTCTTATTAATTAGATTATTTGTCATCATTCTTTGATCATGAATCTTTTTTGGTAACCTATACGTTTAGCTAAAATGAAATACAAACATAATATCTATATCAATCTAGAGCAAAATTTTAAATTTGAGTTAGGTTTTGGGACAAAACCTGAATGAAGAGATTGAGAGAGTGACGGAGTGAATGTGAGAGCCAATAGAACTGGTCGGAGCTGAGAAATCGGTGCTGCCTGCTGGGCACAAGCTTCAAGATAAGAGGATAGAACAGAATTAGGTTAGTTGTTCCGCGTTTGGTAAAACAAGACCGGATATTACTGATGCCATGATGAGAGAACATTCAGGACTTTTTCCTGATGAAATTGCAACAGGTGAGAGCAAAGCAAAAATATTGAAATTACCATGTATTTAAAACACCAAGGTTAGACATATCTATTGAATAGTGATTCTTTCTGAAGCATGTCAGCATCATCATGTTCATCCACCCATTGGAAGGAAAATAGTAAATTTAAGATTGAGTGGGTGCACGGAACCCCGCTCCGCATCTCCGTCCCCTATGGGAAACGGAGATCCCCAACCGGAAGTTAGAGATTTTTTTATTTCCGTTTATTTGAGATATTTTAAATCATATGTGTTAAACACCACAATCGATCCAAAAGTACATATTTATTTCTTACATATTTCCAAAATTGTGTTTTTACGAAGTATCAAATATTCTTTGTGTTAACAAAATCACAACATCATACAATAAACCTAAAAACAATAGAAATTTGATCTAATATAAAAAAAGAACTCAAGGCCCACACGAACCAAAATACATCGAGTAATATCTAAAAATTTATAAATATAAAAGATATTAAATTTAATTATCTATAAATAATATATTTAATAATAAATACAGAATTATATTAAATATACAGAGACAAGGGCGGTTGGGGATCAAGTTACCGAGCCCGGTCCCAGTTTTAACTTTCGGGGATCCCCGTTCCCATTTGCAGGGAATCTCCGCCTTCGGTTGGGGTTGGTACACCGGATTCCGCAGTAGGACGCTTCTCATCCTCATGCTTAGGTGAAAGAAACTAAGGGAATTGTTAACCAAATTTTCTATTAAGTTATGCACGGATAAATGCGTCGGTCTCGTTAAAAATATGATGTTGTTTCCTTTTTTTCCTAAATCAAAAAGTCTGGATGACAGAAATGACCAATCTACCCCCTCAACTTGAATTAGGCTTTGTTTGATAAATTGTTGTTCAAAGATATTTCTAAAACACAAAAACTATTTCACAACATTATGATTCTTCCAACTAATCGTAATTCGTTCTTGTTGTTGTGATTCACCATTTGTTCCATACCTAAAATAAAGAGACAACACTTCTTCTGTGACAAAAAAAATCAACCACAAAACAATACAGAAAGCTACTGTTGAGCAAAGAAGCAAAAATCAATGTTTAAACCGTGTGCTGCCTTTGAAGGAAAAAGGAACAAATTCATTGAACACAAAAGCATAGGAAAAACAATGAAACCAGAGAGCAATTGATAAGAGAATTTCATATAACAAATCAGTACCAACGAATCCCTTTCGTGAAAGAAGGGGGAAAAGACAAAGTAGATAAAAAAGGGAGAAATCGATACCTTCGTTGATGAAAACCGAAGGTCGCTGGAGATTAGACAGGTGGGAAGAGTAAGCCATGGCAATGAAATGCGAATACAACATATATACATAATCAATCATCAGGATGAGCAATATGAGAGCAATCCTGCCATTTGATTAACCAGCAATGTGTTATTTTTCTTATAGCAAAGAGAAAAGGAAGTAAAAAAGCAAAGTTTATAAGACACATAATTTGGAAACACGATCCAAAGTTTATAAAACCAGCCAAGTTGGAGATCATCAACATATGTGCAGATTTACACACAGGATCTACGATCTAAAATACGTATCTGAATTCATTTCATCTCTCTCGTGAACCCTAGCCGGCAGTTCTGATTTTGTGTTCGAAGATGAAATGGAGAAGGTGTGTTGTTTTCCTGGAGATGTTTCCTGTTAGCACAAGAACCAAGAGGGATGGAAGGGTTTTTCTTAAGAGCAAATATCTATGGGGGTGTTTGGGATTGCTTATCAAAACGACTTATTGACTTATTTCAGTCTGGGACTGGAGATAAGCCATTTTGGAGTGTTTGGGTAAAAAAAAAAAAACTGCTTATACCGGTACCAAACCGGTAATAAGTCGTTTTTGATAAGTTAATCCATAGTGACTTATGAAAATTGACTTATTACCGATTTACCA